GTGTGTATATATATATATATATATATATATATATATAGTATTATTTATTCTGTTGTTCCTCTGGCAAAGGGAGAGAAGTCGCTTGATTGAGACTTGGCTTACAGTATTTAGCTTACAGTATTTTTACATGTAACAATTCACAGTGTGACCGATTGTTAGTCAAAATACTTTGTGAAGGTGGATTTACCCTTATCCGTGCACTTCTAATTAGATAGCAATATATACCCTCTCAGTAGGAGGACTTCCTTGGGAATAAATTTGAATTTTGATTTGGGTCAAGGAGAAAAAAATACCTAAACAACATTCCTCAACCAGTGAGGATCTTGAACATAAAATGGGGAGGAAGGACAACATTACAATGATGAGACTATACAGTAGGGCAATGTGGGTGATTCCATTAAATTAGTATCTGTACTTTCAAAAAATTCACTATTTGTAGGTGAAGAGGTGGCTTGGAGAGTTCATTTGAGGTCTATGGGGCCACCACGGAAGAAACAGAGATAAGGGTGGGAGAAGGACATGAAGGGGTCATCATGGTGGTGGGAGGGGAAATTAAAATGGAATGTGTAGTATGGAGATGATCATATGGGTACAGGTATTATTAGTATAAAGATATAATCAATACATGGTTATCAGGCTCTTGTACTGCAAAACCCATTTTCCAGAATCTGTTTAATGGTACATGGTAGACAGAAGAAGAGTTTGTTATGATTTGGAACAGATGCTCCAGAACATTGTTAGCAGTTCAATTAAACATGAGATTATTACATTGTAAAACGACTTCTTTATTGCTTAGCAGGAGATCAGACTATCAAACATAGTGCAGAAGATAGAAATTAAAGAATAGCCTCCCATATTCCCCTCCCCTTTTTATTTTATACACTATATTTTGATGGTTAAATTATCCTAAAACAATATATGCACCAAATAACTAATCTATTCATAACAATCATTTTAAATGTATAATTTAATATCCCCTTTCTCTGATCAGATAATCATTGCAATAATTATCACACATGGGGAGACAATTTTAATAGTTTGCTATATTACATTAAGGAACTCTATACATCTGTTAACTCAAATTTTAATAACTTCCTGCTCTGAAGCTGGAGAGACGGAGGACAACTGCTACTATGGGTAATTACACATTTACCAGCCAATGATGTATGATCTCACTCATAAGAGAATAGGCAGTAGCAATTTTCTATTAAACTGGCGTGGGAAGGTAACCTCCAGCTAATGTTAGGATAAAAGGGGAGATGTTGAGCTTCCTGAGGAAAAAATAAAACAATTTGTCACCATACAATCTTAAGTCAACAGTAAGCTTCCCGTATTCTATAGCACATGGGACTGACCGATGAGCAACAAATACAGCTACTGTTCTACACCATGAAGTAAAACTAGAATATCAATTTGTTGCCGATGAGGTATTTCCCTTGTGACCTGGATCTCTTGCATTGTCTGAGTGCAAAATCCAAACTTCCCCAAAGTTTGAGGAGGACCATATCCTATATTCTAGTTTGGACCCATCTTTAGAAAACCTTACTTCTTTAGCAAAACCTAAGAAGGGATTTGAAGGAGAGGCAGAAAGCTTAGCATTTGGTCAGTGCTAGGTTCTTACGAACATAAAGGGACACTCTGAAATAAGTCCCAAAGGCAAGAGTAGCAGTAGATCTAGCTATTTCACTGTTCTATCTCTACAAGTTCCTACAATATTTGTCACAGCAGGGTCTGGTTTAATTTTCTGACCTCCAGATAGCCTAGGAAGGGTAGAAATGTTCTCAGTGGACTTGAACTCCTTCAGTACCTGACCTTAATATTCAGGGATCCTAAAAATCAATAAAAGATATCCTGTACCCTTTCTCCCACTAATATGGTTGAATACTTTTTTCTCCTTTTTAAACTGCTTTACTTTGCTGGCTCTTGTTTCTGTCATAGTTTGTACTCTATCAATCACCACTTCTAATCAGCTTCCAGCCATGCATGCATGTGACTGCAGCTGTGAGCAGTATAAACACCTAAAATCATCAATGGTCTTGGAGTTTTTAAATGAACAATTTATGATCTTTCCACATTTCCACCCTGTTCACTGAAACGGTTTGTTTTTAGAATGGTTTTGATGAGCCTGCTGTAACCTTTCTGCCAGGGGGAGCCAACAGCAACCAGGGCCAAGTTCAATATCTAGGGGTTCCTTTTCAACAATACAGCACAGAACTAGCTCGAACCTCCACCGAGTAACCTGGGGAAATTACACACCACCCCTGGATGCCTCTGAGAGGCAATACTTCCCCACTTGCAAGCACAGAGTCTCAGCAAAGAAACTTTTAATGAAAGGAGGGAAGTCACCTGACATTAGTTAGGGTAAATGCCACAAGCAGGATTCATAAACATAAAACTGTGAGCAGGACACCCACCGTAGAGTGCATGGGGCAGTGCCTTCTGCCTCATGTTCTACAACCAAAAATTCCTTTAATGTACTCCTCTCTGCTCCCTCACCATACCCCATTCACAGTGGTTGTCCTTGGTCAGTGAGGTTCAGGGTTCAGAGGTGCATCTGTGTGAGTTCACCTCCCACCTAGGGAAGAAAGCACCTTGCTTACTCCACTGTCTGAGCACTTGCTTTAGCTGTCCACCCTGCCAGCCGCGGTTCCTTGTTGCCTGGCTGCTCCACCAGCCGCCCATCAGTTACCTTCTGCTGCCATCTGCCTCTCTGCTGTGACTTCTGCAGATCAGTCTCTTAGTGAATTTAGCTCTCAGCAGACTGAGCAGAAACACTGCCCCACTACAAGTGATTTCAGTTCTTATTGAGTACTTGAAATAACAAAGGGTTCCTAATGAAGCCTATTTAGCTCTATCTTTGAACAGTGGGGAAGAACAGGTTAAACCAGACCAGGGACCTTTAGGGAGAGTCCACACCTCCTAGGTAGGAAACCTGTCCCCACCACTCTTACTTTCACAGGGGTCTGACATTTGAGCCCCTGGCTTAGCGAGTTCCTTTCAGCTGAAGATGACCCCTCAATCAGGACAAGCTCACAAGGGCGGCTCCAGGCACCAGCGCGCCAAGTGCGTGCCTGGGGCGGCAAGCTGCAGGGGGCGGCCTGCTGGTCGCTGTGATGGCAGCAGTCAGGCTGCCTTCAGCAGCATGCCTGCGGGAGGTCGGCCAGTCTTGCGGCTTCGGCGGCAATTCGGCGGTGGGTACACCGAAGGCGCAGGACCGGCAGACCTCCCGCAGGCATGCCGCCAAAGGCTGTCTCACTGCCGTGCTTGGGGTGGCAAAATACATAGAGCCGGCCCTGCAAGCTCAGCACAGTTCTGCTTCCCTTTACTCATACAATGAAGATAACACTGATAACATTTCACTACCCCTGCATTCAGTACTAAAGTGATTTCTAACCTAATACCAACCAAAACTGATCACTTGGAGCTACACAGCTCCTGTCTGCTAGATACCTATGCAGATAGGTGTGTTCATGTAAATACAGTTTGCTCCTGATGTCTCTCCCCATCCCAAACTAGGTGTCAGAGGAGAGCTAATTGAGATCCTATTTACACTGCTAAGCAGGGGACTACAATCCAATCACCCCCTTGCAACTGCACATTCCTGGCCCATGGTGAGGTAGGAGGAAGAATTCTGACCAGGAAGTGAGTGGGCATTGCTGGGAAGCATCAGTGGCATGGAGAGCTAGGAGCTTCAGAGAAGCTGAATGCAGAGATAAACCCCCAGGAACCCTACCCAGAGCTGTATGTGGAATGTTATAGCCAGACATTACAGCTAGCTGCAGGTCTCCATGGGACTGGGAATAATGGGGGAGCAGTAGCAACTGGGCAGGGAGCCAGTACAGAGGCGCCCCAATGAAAGAGACAGTACAAATTGATTCTGGCTTGGAAACCTGCAAGTTTGTATTTGCTTGAACAGAGACTGAACTGGAGAGAACACCCCAGACACTAGGCCTGGAGAGTTCTCCTAACCGTGAACTGATTTCCCCAGGGGCCCAAGAATCACTGTTGCCCACTTTGAACTGGAACTGTTGAAGCCTCTGTACCTAGAATATTTGCAACTTTTTCCTTTTCTTGCCAGCCCTAGTCAAATACCCTTTCACTTTAGCCAGTGTCTAAGTGGTTAATGGGATCCACCAGGACTAGCGCCTACAAGGCCTAGCTACTGAAGCACCTTCAGTGCTTGCCTCTGAGCTGCAGTACACCTGGCATGCTACAGGTACCTTAGAGGTGTGGTTTACTCCAGCACTGAGCAGCTATAACAATTAGAGTTTTTTAACACAACTGCGTCAGAAGTAAGCTTGAGTCAGGCAGCTCTTCCTGAGAGTGTATTGGCGGTTTTCAGAAGTTTATATTCACATTACACACACACACACACACACACACACACACACACACACAGCCAGAAAGTTCCAGTGCTCTCAACATGCAGTGAACTCCACATCCACTGTGTGTTTACGGAATTGGCCTCACACTATGGGGATTTGCAGGAGGCTAAAAACTGGGCAGCAGCCTGACCTGCAATTAAGGGATAGCATTATTAGTGTAGGTCAAAGTTTAGTAACTACAAACCACTGAGCAGGAGGAGGAAAAGGACTATTAACTTTATTATCCCTTTCAGACACAGTCAGGCTCTTTCTGATTTATGCTACAGACTCTAGTCATTTAAAAATAGATAGGTATAAAGACAAACAAGCAAGCTCTGGAGTTCTGCCACAGCATCTGCATTATTTATCCACCTGTCTATCCATGTATCAGTTTGAGAGATATACAAGATACATTCAACCCATGTTTGTTCCCTGCATTCCTTCTCACAGCTGATAAAATACAATGACTTACAAAAGGTTTCTTTGTCCTAATATTTTGTGATATTACAGCTTAATCAACACAGATCCCATTAAAAAGACTTCAGGGACTAGAGAGCTAAATATTTAATGCTTTTCTATCTATGATCAGTTTAATAATTAATGTGGTTCCTATCCAGGAAATGATAAAACACATCACCCTCACACATGAAAAGCTAAACAAGCTCAACTAATATAAAGAAAAATATTATGCTTGACTACAACAATAATGAAATGAATATATATCTGAAAAGAATAAGTTAGAAGCCACATCAGTATAAATCTATGGTCGTGTTTAGAAAGATATTCAATATCATATTCAATATCAAACATTCCAAACAGCAAAAGTTACGATCTTAATGACATCTGCCACAATGTGTTATTAAAGATTTCCATACAATCCTGTCATAGTCACAAGAAGTTCTGCTTCCTGCTCTTCATTCAGCCAGGGGGCTGTTTGTAAAATGATATTTTTATAGGCACAAAAATGGAATTTAACCGATACCGAGGTTTCCATTTGAAACTAGATGGTGTGAAATGTGTCATTCCAGGACAGTAAACACAATGCTCTGTCACGGCTCTTTATACCCATTCTGATTTTTTTGCTCTCAAGTAGCTAGCACTGCTACAACTTGATTGCCCAATAGAAGCTTTTAGCTCAACTGAAGAATAATGCCCTAAAAGCTTGCTCTGATCTACAGAAGAGTAAACCCCAAGATGGGACTTGACTTGGGGTCTCAAAGTCAGGGAAGCCTCTTTGGTGAAGGTTTGCTGTTGCCCATGTCTCAGCTGCCTGTATGGAATACGCTGCTGGTCACTTATACATAGGGGCACTTCATTACTGCCTTGATTAGCAGCAAGGCTTTCTGCTATACAGGGTTTATTGCTGTTACTGTTGAGGTTAGAGATGGCAGTTTGCTGGGACATGATCTTCTCTTCCCCCTGAAGTTCTTCTTCATCTTCAGAGTGAAGTGAGCAAGACGCTTCACTGGTATGACTGTCATGTGTCACTAGATGTTGATGGCCTCTGTCCTCTGGAGATGGTGGAGAATCCTCCAGCTTCTCAGCTGGAGGCAGAACTGAACTGTGCTCATCCTCTGCATGGAGACCTTCCATTGGTTTATTTTGTCCATTTCTTACTGCCATTCTTTGGATGGCAAAGGCTAGATCAACAAGGCTAAGCAGAAAAGAGAGGCCACTCACCCCCCAAATGAAAATCATCATGATGGATTTCTCAGTAGGCCTGGAGATGTAGCAATCGACCATGCTGGTACAAGGAGACTGGTAACAGGAAAAGCGTTTAGGAACAAAAAATCCGAAGAGATAATACTGTCCAGCTCCAAAGCTAGCCTCTGCCAGTGTTCTTAGAAAAAGATGAACAGTATATGCCCAAGAAAAATCAGGAATATTCAGAAGATCTGCCTTGCAGGATGGGCTAGTGACTGCAACATTTTTGCATGGTTCCTTCAAAGCTGTATGGCCAGCTAATGCCTTGATTCCTTCATATCTACATGGCAAATAATGTGCTGTCACAACATGCATGGCTACTTTGTGCAGAACATAGACATTGAACACAGCATAAGGTAGCAGAACAGACACCGTCTGAATGAGCCAGAATCGAAAGTGAGAGACAGGAGAGAAAATGTCATAGCACACATTAGAGCATCCTGGTTGCAAAGTATTGCAGATGAATCGTTCTTGTTCGTCTTGGTAGAGGGGGTATCCCGCTAACACTATCACCGCCATTCTCAGCAAGATTACTAATGTTAGCCAGATCTTTCCTACAGAGGAAGAAGAAATGGTGATAGACTCAAAGTACAGAAAATGAAATCTAGCAAGTAAGAGGCTCATAATGTAATCCTCCAGCATGTACAATATTTATGAACAAAAATCAATTGGAATCTTTCCATTGACTTCAGTGGGCTTTGGATCAGGTCCTTAATTCTACAGTCCTTACTCCATTAAAACCCTTAGTAATATCGAGGCAGGATCAAGCATTAATTTTTCTGAGTACCTCTCTTTTTATTTATTTTTTCATCAGACTTTATGCTTCTCAGGACCGGATCTTGTCTTTGTTAGATCTTTGCAAAGTAACATGTACACACAGACATTGCTCTACAAAGAATTAAATAATAATTTTTAAAAAAACCTTCTCCATGGCTGTGGAGCTCAGTTGGTTTGGAAAAAAAAGGCAGTTAGAACATGCAAGCTTTTTTCAGTTTATCTTAGGAGTTTTTACTAATATATAAAATCTTTGGACAAACACTGACCACAGAAAAATTCAATCCCAATACTGGATATTTTGCAAAGGGAAAAAAAGCAAACCAAAAAATTAGGACTCGAAACGTTCACTGGAGTCGTTACTGAAACTCAGTACTACCTCTATACCGATCAATATATGCAGGTAGAGTTTGAAGCCAGGACATCCGGAGTTTCAGTCCTGGCTCTGCCACTGACTACCTATGGTCTTTGGAATGTCATTTAATTTAATAATCTCTCTGCCTCAGTTTCACAATTTAAAGCAAAATAAGGGGGGAATTGAGTGATTAATATATACTTATCTACATTAACACAAGATAAAGGTTAAGGACTCAATTCTGCTTCCAGATAAATGCAATAGTAAAAACCTTTGACAAAAGTAGAAGCAGGAATGGGTCTGAATTAATTGTTGTACAGAGCCCTAGAAATCTAAAATACTGAGTGGTTCTCTCTGATATAAACACACATGGTTTTACGGGCAGAGAGTTGGTAAAATAGCCCCTGTAGGTATTTTTAAAAATAACTCTTTTTAAAAGCAAAATCCTAATAATTTTTCTGTAGAGTGTATGGCGTATACATACTTACAGTCTTAGACAATCGCCTCTCCTACTTGCCAAAAAGTTAAGTACTTTTTATAACATTTGGGTGACTCTTAAACATTTAAATGTTTGTAAAACATTGGGGGGGGGGGGTTATATTTTATTGGCATGCATTTGAGATGAGCTACATACCTCTCTTGTGGCCAGCAAGAGAGATTATACCAATAGAATAACAATAACACTACTCTCAGAAATGGTGAAACTAGGCATGAACATATAAACAACTTGGTAGCTCCATGAGGCTATGTCCTCACTACGGGGGGAGGGAAGGGTCGATTTAAGATATGCAAATTCAGCTACGCGAATAGCGTAGCTGAATTCGATGTATCCGAGCCGACTTACCCCACTGTGAGGACAGCGGCAAATTGACCTCTGCAGCTCCCCCATCGATAGTGCTTACTCCCACCTCCGCTGGTGGAGTACAAGCATCGATTTGGGGATCGATTGTCACGTCCTGACGAGACGCAATAATTCGATCCCCGAGAGATCGATTTCTACCCGCCGATTCAGGCGGGTAGTGTAGACGTAGCCTGAGACTGCAGAATAGGTGATCATATTGAAACCCTCCCACAACCAACTAAACAATATATTTCCTAACCAAAAACTATTTCTGATGGCATTCTTGGTGTTTTCAGTTGGCTATTCTGGTGGAGAAAAATGGCTATAATATGAAATCAAAAGTAGCCCTTAATGAATAATAGTCTGTACTTTTATTACACTTTTTATGCAAGGATCTCAATGTTTCAAAACCATTCATGAATTAAGCCTCTCAACACCCTGGGATGTGTTAGAGCCTCAGTTTTTAATTAGAATGTATACATGAGAGAGTTCTGCTTAAAAACCACTGGGTCTCTGTTAGGTTAGTACTATAGAGACAAGGTGGTGAGGTAATAACCAGAAACTTATATGCTCAAACTCTGTTCTTTTTTTTTTTAACATCTTAATGCAATTTTTAAATCTGTTCTCTTATTAGAGCAACTTCTTGGTGAGAGGGACAAGCTTTTTACAGACAACTCCGTGCATTGTTTTCCCTAAGGGCTCAGTTCTGCAGACTGTTACTACAGCTAGCCATTTCATTGAGAGTTAGCGGGATTACTTGCCGGAGTGAGCAATGCACTGTAATAAATATTTACAGGACTGAGCTATAAAGGCCAAAGTCCAAAAAAGTCAGTTGTCTTCCGTAGTCTTTGGATCTGGCCCTAAGTCACTCACTCAAAATTACACAGTGAATCAGTGACAAACTTAATAAAAAAAATAATAAAAAGTCATTGAGAAAATTAAAGTGCATTTTTAATATGCGCTTGAATGCTGTAAACTTTTAAAACCCAACTATGAAAAGCAAGATTGCTTAATCTTTACTTCTCCCTGTATTATTTACTTCACTGTTGAAGCAGGCTATGTCATATAATGGAAAAATGTACTTTTTACACCTGCCTTGAGCTTTGAATGTTTCATTACAGCTCTCAGTAGAGCTGGGAGGAAACTTGGTGGGTAAGAATAGCCAGATTTGAAAGCCTCCCCCCAGCATTCATTTGTAACATTTAGAAAATATTCATAGCAGATGAAGTAGGAATCTATTATTTTTTTTAAATCAAACATCCACAGCTCTTATATCCCATAGCAAAACAACTAACTTTCTTGTGGGGGTGGGGGAGAGCAGAGAGGGGTAAGACTGATACCTGGAAATGAAAGCTGATGAACAGGGAAGAAACTTGGATGATTTGGGGGTACAAAATTCTAAAAGAAAAGAGCACACCTTTTAAAGATACTTACCTACGAACGTAACATTGTAGTTGAGAGTGATAATCAAAAACCCCAGTGAGTCCCAGTGCTTCATCTTTGAACTAGTTCACTACACTTTCAGCTTCTGAAAGCTTAAGAAGGATTCTGGCATTTTCAAAGCAAATTAGACCTAGACAGAGAAGGAAGAAAATAAATATTTTGGGGGAAAATACCCAACCACTAACAACATTATTGATGAAGAATTATTTTGATGAAAGAGCTAAATAGGCCTGCTGACCTTTGCAAATTGGGAACAAACCCTTCCTAGGAAATACAGTTGATTTCACAAAAGTTCTAGCTTCACAGATCTATTTGCTGCACTTACCTCTGTGGTCCCTCTGTCCTGACAACTGCAAGTAGACAAAAGGCAACAGAAGTAATCTCAACCATTGTGGGCTATTCTTACCCTCCCGGGGCATTCCAGCCTCCTGGCATTGCTGGGATATTTCAGTGGCAAAAATCAGACATGAGTACAGGAAATAATAGAAGCCTCTCTGTTTTCCCCAAGGAGACTACAGATGAAAAATACAAGGAAAGGAGATACAAAGGGACCAACATCCCTGTCTTCGGAAAGCATTTTCAGTTTAGCAACTCTTTACTAGGAAGCTATCCCAAAGTAATTTTATTAATAAAACACACCCTCTCGGAGAGGGCATCATGGTCTTGTCAATCACAGTTGCACCAAAAATTCCATAATTTGCCTTCAGCCTGACAGGAGAGCAATCTCTACCTTGCGGGGATATGGAGGATGAATGTGATGAAATCTTTAATATCATCTTGGAAAATAAAAATCTTCTGTTTAAAGTCATTTTCATTTGGATGAGTTCTTCCTGTCTGTTTTGCTATTTTACTGTTTTGCATAGTAGTCATCACTGGGAAGAGCCTAGTAGAAATTGCCTTAATTGACCACCTACGCAGATATTTGTGATGTTTACTACATAAGAAGTAAGCCATGGCCTGAAGCATGTTAAGGCTAAACAGTACTTTTACAATCTGTTCTGAGTAATGGGCATAGCACCCCAAGAGCAAACCAAGAGGGAATTATGACTCTAAGCCCTTGTCTGCACTTGCGAAGCAGGCTTTTCCACATCGCAGTGTGTAGCTACACACAGCAATGAAAGGCTCCAGGACCAGAGGGGCAGCCAAGAAAGAAGCCAACAGTGGGGAGGCAGTGGGATACTATGCTTCTAAAAATAGCAGTGTAGACGTGGGAGGCCCTGTTTGGGTAGCTAGAGAGCCGTCAGGTATATACTCGAAGGTTCTGGAGTTTCTGCACTCTACTTGCCTGAGCAGTGCCTCACTATCTACACTGCTCTTTATACCTGTGCTAGATATATATGCAGTGTATGTACTATACACACTGTCAGACGTGTAGACATAGCCTGAGTCACCCCTAGCTCCAGAAAGAAAATAATCTACTACTGTTATAGAGCCAAGGCTCCTTCCACTCCTCACCCAGCATGGTGTGGTGGGGGTGGGAATAGTTGCCCCAGAATCTGCTTTTCCATTCCCCTCCACCCCATCTGTAACCACAATGTGTGCTGTGGTTGCAAGGGTAATTCACATCTGGGCCTTAAATTACTGGGTGGGAGGGGAGATTAAAGTAGTGTGTGTATGAATCTATTTAGTGGTGGTTCCACAGGCCTGAAGGCCTCTATTGAGCCATAGAACAGGCAGAAGTGTGAGCTTGTCAATGCAATCCTGTGAATGTATTTCTACCTGGACACCCTCACTGCTAAGGGAGTAGAGATAGGCCAAGGTTTGTATGGACATCAGGAGTGAACTATTTGTAGGTTTGGCAGAATTAGATTTTTTTAATATTACTTTGATAATGTCAGTGATTACTTTTAATCGAACACTTGATTTTTATAGATTTAAAATTTCACAGGTGTAGGATATTATGGGGGGGGGCTCAGACAATGTGGGAGATCAGACAATTATTTACTAACAGTAGACATTGAGATTCAAAAAGTTAAAGCTTTATAACCATTAAAAAAAACAAATTGTCAACACGTCAAAATATACAAAGTAAATTTCCTTAAACCAGACGAAGAAATTCTCAAGCAGCATTTTCTTACTTTGCCGATCTGTAAATATCAATTAGCAGCTATAGAGATATTTTTTCATTGGCTTGTGTGAGTATAGTAAAATTGACATTTACCCATTTTACTGGAACTGTCAACAGAGAGTCAGTGCAAGTTGTGGCATAGCTGGGTTATGTGATGTGGATCCTGGTCCACTGGTAACTGGATAATTTCCCATTCTCCCCACCCCATATTCCCACAATATGTAACAATTCCAAAAACATTTTCTCTAGGCATTCTCTGAATTCAATGAGACCTAATCAGGAATGCTCAAGGCCTCAGACAGGACAGCAAGAGAATTATTTGCGTTAGTCTGCCTAAGACCAGGGAAATGTAAAAAACAGTGTACAGTGATGGAACTTCAAAAAAATAAAACAATGATGATTTACCTTAGTAAACATTTTTTAATCTGAAGTGATAAATATATGTAGTATTATGTTTTTAGTATTCTTGTAATTAATAAACACTTTTTTCCAACCAAAGGGAGCTCTTTAGTATTGTATTTTACTGTTTTTATGGTGCTTGAGGTTGCGTTTTTGTGGTCTGGGGGGTGGGGGGGGGAAGAGTTTGGAGTGGGAAAGAGTGCAAATAACCATATTTTTAATTTTGGAAAAGTAGCTACTCGTGTGAAACTTCCTTTATCAAAAATAGAATCAGGAATGTTAAGATGCTGACAGGAGACTAATGCACAGCAGCTGCATTGACACAGTAGGTCATAAATTGTTCATCATGTCAAATAATCACAACTTAAAATGTCCTTAGCCGCTTTTAATATGATAGACCATAACAGTATGTGAAGACTAAGCATATTTGTTCCTTAAACCCTATCTGCCACCATCTTGATGGTGGCAGATGAGGAAATCTGGGCACAATGGCTCCATGACAGGGAGATCTGCTGAGATGGGTAGGTGTATTTTCTTTTTAAAAATTAAATAATTATCCTATAGGCTTATGAACTGTGATGTAATCTATGCGCTAGCAAAGAGGGGATAGGGCACAATCAGGAGACCTGTGTTCTAATCTGCTCTATCACTATTATGCTGGGTAACTTTAGGCAAGTCACTTCAGTTCTCAGTGGTTCTTTTTTCTTTATCTTACTTAGATTGTAAGCTCTTTGAGGCAGGGGCTGGCTTTGGGCTTGTCTCCACTTACTGTGGATCGACACTGCAGTGATTGATCCACCAGGGGTCGATTTAGTGGGTCGACTGCCGCTAAATCGACTGCCGATCACTCTTCCGTCAACTCCGGTATGCCACCGGAAAGGGACGCATAAGGTAAGGCAACAAGAGAGTTTCTCCCTTCGACCCAGTGTGGTGTAGACACCACAATAAGTAGACCTAAGGTACATTGTCTCCAGCTAGGTTATTCATGTAGGTGGAGTTGTGTAACTTAGGTCGACTTAGCCCTATAGTGTAGGCCTGCCCTTTGACTATGTTTTCATACAATGCCTAGCAAACTAGGGCCTTGATCTCAGTTGTAGCCTGGAGGTACCTCAGAAATACACTTAACCATAAATGCAAGACTCAGTGCCATGTGGTATTTCTATGTTGCCTATGGAATTATGTAAAATATCAGCTGATTCTTCACTACCGTTCATATTCAAAATTTCTTTCAAATAACTGCTCAGAAACATTTCAATTTTCCCTTAATTCATGAAAAATGTGAAGCAGTGATGAGAATTTTTCCATGCAGCTGAAGTTGTCTTTTCCAGATGTATCGTCCCTCATGTTTACTCTTGGTCTTGCACTCTTCCCTAGGTTCCTCTTTGTCAATAGATACCAAAGCTAAATAATCTAGAAATGGGGTTATACCAAAATCCCAGATCTGATCATCCCCAAATTTTGGCAAAGTTGAGTGCTGAAATCGGTGATCCAAGCCCACGTGTACAATCAATATATTTTTTTAAAAAAGAGGTGACTACAGGTGAAACATCACTTTAATATCCTGTAATAATTTCATCACTTCTTTTCCCTTGCAGCTCCTTAAAGAGCCACAGCACAGCCCTCACTTGAAGGGGTCAGCAATGAAACACAAGAAGGTGCAATAAATCTATTTTCAAATCCACAACGGCTGTCTGAGTTTAAAACCACTTACAACAAATTTAGGGCTTGAACCGGCAAACACTTACACAGGAGTACCCTGTTGAGAGTGAAAACAGTTGTGCACATATCAGGATCATATTTGATAATGGACACATTTTGTCCGAAGTGGTGAAAACAATAATCCACAGTTACATACAGACCTACCTGGGTTGACCCATCTCATGTTCTCTGCTAAAAGTTAATCAATGTGGCACAATGTTCAATGTAATGTAAAGACTGGGCCTAGTCCTTGGCTCTGGGTGAGGACTCAGTGCAGCCCCGTATTAATTAGCATTAATATGTATTACACATGTATGGGATTAATATTGTATACGTCATATGGCATATGAATGTTGGGTAGTTTTGCTAATTGACCTGTGTGATGCTTTCCCCCCGAATGCGGATTACTCCTGTTCTATTCACACTGAGGTGTACATATCCCAAAACACTTTGCAGAGCTGAATTCAGCTCTTAGCATAGGCAAATACAATACATTATTACTATGTCCTGGTACAGGTAGGGAGTTCTTTCACAGCCCATTGGTGCCTGGAATGTGGTATCCAAAACAGAGAAGAAAGGAACAGGTTGCTACAGAAAAACAAGACAAAATACTGATTGAGTTCAGTTTTGGTTGCTGTACAGAATGTTCTCTAACTTGTAAACAACCACGTGTGTGTGTGTATACAGCTAGTTTTGAATACATATTTCCAGAGCAATATTGAATGTTGCGAGACTCTGCACTCCAGATTGCATTGGCAAAGAATTAACTCTTTCCTTTCTAAGAACAGGAGTACTTGTGGCACCTTAGAGACTAACAAATTTATTAGAGCATAAGCTTTCGTGGACTACAGCCCACTTCTTCGGATGCTACTCTGAAATCTTTCCTCTCTGTATTATACTGCTATGTCTTTGACTTCGCTTGGTTATTTGGTCTCTTGAACAATTTCAATCTTGAATCAAAAATGAAGTTAAGCAATTGGTTGAATGTTTAGGAAGGGGAGATGCATAGATACCTTTTAAGCCACTTCTGGGCTTTCCTATCCTGGGGCAACTCTATGCCAACCAATCCCCAGTCAGGAATTAGAGCAGTCAGAAGGCTGCTGTAATCTGCCTCAGTTGTGGCCATTATGGCAGCTAGAAATGACTACTGTCACAGCCATACTCTCTGTTCCCCTGCAATGCACCCAGCAACAATTGCAGGAAAAAAGGGTGAAGTGGGAGCTGCTAAGGCAACTCTGTACTATATAGAGGACCTCATGACACTGAGGTGATCTTTCTGTGATCAGTTAAAAGGGCTTTAGGGCAGCATTGTGCCAAAGTATCCATACTACGCTTTCCTAACGTGCCTGAGGATC